AGGTGTATAATGTAGATAGTTACATTTCTAATGCTTTGCGTAAGTAATTTGTTATTTTTTCAATTTATTTAGTAGTTAAAAGTGGAAGAACTAACATAAGAAGAACACTAACATAAGAAGAACTTTGGGTGTAGACGTGTAGTATAAGGGTAAACAAGCCAATTTAAAAACAAAGTCCAACTTTTTAAAGAAGGTGTACAATCACTTGTGCATGGTGAGTATTGACACAAGTAAAGGATATTAACATTGTTCACAATTGTAATATTGTTAGATTTCCTTTCACTTCGAAGCTCCAATGTTCAATTTGTTGAGAAATGGGTCGTTCGCATACGTAAAAATATTGGAAGGAGATGAAAGTCTATAGTTCAATTTATTTGATGTTATATACTGCGATACATTTTTATTGACATTAGTGTTGTGCTGCCAAGTTTAATACGAGTGTTAATATCATTTTAGGAGTGATATTGCCATTTTTAGAAGTAATATTGCCATTAAAATGAAATTTAGTGCCATAAAAATGACATTGTTTGTAAAAACAAAAACATGACATTATATTAGAGCAATATAACCTTCTTTATGAAATGACATTATTTCTAAATCAAGATGGAGATAACTGCTATTTGTTGAGAAATTAAAAACAGTAGATATAAAACTTTTAGATTCAAAATTATTGCCGTAAAATGGCACTATAATAGAGCAATACTATCTTATTAGTAAAGTGACATTATTTCCAATTCAGGATTAGATCAGTTTGTTTACTACAAAAAATAAATGCACTACTTATGCATCTCTCAGTTTCAAAATTAGTGCAAAAAGGCATTGGTTTTCGAAAAAATTATTTTCATATTGAATAACATGATACTATAAGATCAAAATCAAAATTAAATTTACAACTAATTAGAAATTAATAAAAATAATAATCGAATCAGTCACAAACAATCTCGAATTATGGTTACAATTGAAAACAAAAATAATCTCCAACCGTTAAAAGATTGATGGAAATTAAAAAAATCAAAATCAAAATGAAGGAAATATAAACAAATTTATCAAAAAATGAATAACAATGAAAGAAAACAAAGGAAGAGAGGAGGAGGAGTGTAGAGAAGAAGATTGAAATTTACCTACAACAACCTTTTGTCGTCAACTTGCCGACGATCAAATTGGAGTAATTAATATTGATAGAAAAATAAAAAATAAAAAAATTATGACACGACACTAATTATTCTCTAACAAATTGAGTTAAACATGCATCTAATCTCTCTCTCATGTATCTATAACCCCGTAAATTATATGGTACATCCGGTTATACCATTCGCCAACCAGATATTCTAGTTTATACTTAATGAGTGTATAAGTTAAATATAATGAGTATTGGTATTAAATTATGAAATTAACATGATAATACAATGATAATATAGTTAAATGAATAAGTTAATTTATAGCACATAAATATTTTGATGATAATACAATCACAATACTCAATTGCACACTTCTAATACTCAATTGTGCTACCAAAGGTCCAAAACATTGATTTAATACCAATACTTATTTCTTTTAAATGTTATACTTATTAGCTACTCCATCCCTCCCAATTTAAAGGGGTAATTTGAGTTTGCACCCTATTTTATTGTCCAAATTGTACTTTGCCCTCCATTTTTGAAAATCTTTGTTTATGCACCCCAATCTCATATGAAAAGACAAAAATGTCCTCGATGAGGAATATGTTGAAGACAAACATAATTGTTAATGGAGGGACATTTTTGTCTTTTCAAATGGGAGTGGGGGTGCAAAACAATGTTTTTCAATAATGGGGTGCAAAGTCCAATTTGGACAATAAAATGTGGTGTAAACTCAAATTACCCCCAATTTAAAAGGTCCTGTTCGACTTCTAATACTCAATTGTGCTACCAAAACATTGATTTAATACCAGTACTTACGGAGTATTTCTTTTAAATGTTATACTTATTAGCTACTCCCTCCGTCCCAATTTAAAAGGTCCAGTTCGACTTTTACACAATTTAAGAAAATGACATTGTTTGACATTGTATAAACACGATTTAACACTGTTTGATATTGTGTGACATTGTTTTACACTGTTTCATTTACCAAATAAGGAAATAAGACATTTTTAAAGCACATATCGAAAAGGAAAGTGAAATGTTTACCCTGCTATATAAAATAAAATACTGGGTTTTGGTGAGTTTTGAGCAGATTCGAGCTGATCAATATGGTGAATATGGTGAGTTGGTGACTAGTGAGTACGGTATAGGTACTCCTAAAACCCCATTCTACCCCTAATAAGGGTTGGTTTGCAACTGCTTTTAAAAAAGCACTTTTCAGCTTTTGGCTTTAAAAAAACACTTATTTTCCCAAACACTACAACTTTTATTTTTCTCGGCTTCCGCGTAAAAAATGCTTTTACTTTTTCTATTACACAAAAAACATTTATTTTACCAAACACTACCCACTTTTACTTTTCAAAATCACTTTTTTCTCAAACACTATCAACTTTTATTTAATCACTTCTCCCTATTTCATTTAAAAAAACACTTTTTTAAAAGCAGAAACTGTTGCAAACAGACCCTAAGAAGCTCATGTAGAGTAGCCTCTCTACCTCTACCTAGGGAACAGCCCCACATTTGTTATGGCGACTTCATAATTCCGAGTTCGGGGCACATTGTTATGGCCACATCCCTTATCCAGTTTATCGGGGCACATTCGGCCAATTTATGATTTGCAATTCGCCAATGTCAAGTCCTCCTCACCCATTCCTCCAAGATTTTCTCCATTCCCATTATCACATCAAGGCCTCATCATCTTTTTTTTTCAAACATTCCTAAATTCAATCTTTCTTCATTGCAGAAATCAATATATATATATATATAAAAGAGGAACTTTTCAAGAGCATACAAAGCGCCACATAATCCTGCCACGTCATTATATAAAAGATTTTATTGGATTCCTATTAAAATTAATATAGAAAAAATATATATACGTTCATAAATGTAAAATGCTTTTGATAGATTCCTTTTACGTATAAGAGATTCCTCTTATACGTATTACATTCCTATTAGCTCATTAAATTTTAAAATAATCAATATTTTTGTACCTTTTATTTAAATTAGATTCTATTTTTGATTGCATATTAATATGAAAAATAAAAGACCGTAGAAATCCACCTTATTTATTTGAGATTTGAGAATATTACCCGGAATAGGAGCAAAAAAGTGAAAATTTAAAAATATGCCTGTCATGTTTTTATTCCTAAAATGGGACTTATTACTACGTACTCCGGATTATGTTTTGACAGTACCAGACTTCAAACATGACAGCATTTTTCAAACTGAGTAATAATTACTCCTATTTTGGGAATAAAAACATGATAGCCCTATTTTGGAATTTGGGAACTTTTTTAGTCCTATTTCGGAAACTTTCCCTATTTAATTTGGTAACTTTTCAAATTCTTTTACGTATTTGAGAAATATTAACTTTAGTAATTGGAACCACAACAATTAATAATCAAATTTTAAGTATTGGATCACACAGTAACAATCATGTAATTATTTTTATATACTTTTTATTTTTTACTACGTACTACTCTGTACATTCTATCGAAGAGATGAAGTATCCTTTTTTTTTTCCACTTTATAGATAAATCAGCAAAATTGCAATTAATTTTGTCTTCAAATTTATGTGATTAAAATATCCAGTCCCATTTTCTAAAATATAATATAATATTTTTCTAAACTCAATGTTGAGATAATGATAAAAATGTGTTAATACTTTGTATTTTTCTGCATCTTCATACAATTCTTTTTTATTTATTAATATAGTGATGAAAACTATGACCATCATATTGTTGAAATTAAAAACGAAATTAATACTATTAGATTATCAAATATATATATAATCTCTTAAAAATAATACTTGTGATCAGGTAACTTACCTTATTTGATAAGGATGAAAATTAGTATCTCCCTCACACACGTGTATGTATGTATATCTATCTGTATATATATTTTCACAAGTAAATATGTTTAGGCTATATAGCCAAAAAAGAAAATATGATTGGTTGTTTCTTTATTTTTACAACTAGAGTTTAAATATGCTTTCATTATATTCCTAATCCAAATTTGAAATCTTTATAAGTTTAAAAATTCCTAATTTTTATTTAACAGAGTGTTTTTATTAGATTGATTTAAGTTCCACACTAAATCAGATCATATCAAAGTTTAATAATTATAATAATAATAATAAGTCACATAAAATGTAAAACAGACATCTACCAAACCATATTAATTCAAACCAAATCAAACCTAGACTTTTAATTTAATTAAAGATGTTCTTATTAATGAGTAAAATGTAAGATCTCACTATTTTTGAATTTTGACTCCACTTTTTTCAAAGATACGGAGTGCATATACCAACATTTGTGTATAGTACTGATAAAATTTTATATGCACAGTGGGTGTATACATGTATTGGGGTCACATTAAAAAAACACGGGATTGGTACGTAATAAAGTAAAACTTGATTGGTACATAACTTGAGGAGTATTAGAAAAAAACTTGAGATGCATAATAAAGTAATTTAGAGGACGAGCGATTATGAATTCTTTAAAATCGGGTTCATAACAATTATATTTACTTGTTGGCCAAAAACACCAATTATATTACTTGAGATGCTTATGTAGAAGATCATATTAAATATTTTTCATATAATTTTTTTTTGTTTTACAAATCGAATATTTTACAAATTTTTGTTATGATTGAGAAGATTTCACCTATTCAGCCTATTCAACCAGAATTTAATCAATTTCAACAAAATAAGCTAATTTAGTATTGTCAAACGGACTCTATATTAGAGTGAGTTTAATGTACTTTTGCATCACATTATATATGACCTTGAAAAAAATCAAATTTAAAACTAGCTAAATTATAGACTTCCCGTGCATCGCACGCTTGAGAACTAGTTCTCTAATAAAACTAAAAAATATCCAGTGCCCAGTACTCAAGGAACCATGACGGAGGTCATCCACTCTTCATCTGCTTCCCCCTCTTCTTCTCCTTCATTGTATCAGGCCAGGGGTTTTGTAGATGAAGAAGAAGCCAAGGGGGGGATTAAGGAGAAAGATCAGCTCTCTTTATTGGCCCTTTTAGTGGCTTTGTTCAGAAAGAGTTTCTGGTTGGCTTGCAAGGCGGAGAGAGCTGAGCATTGCTGTTCTGCTGCGGGTATGGAGATTGGATGGCCTACTAATGTGCGCCATATTGCCCATGTTACCTTTGATAGATTCAATGGATTCCTTGGTTTGCCTGTTGAGTTTGAGCCAGAGGTTCCCAGGCGGTCCCCCAGTGCTAGGTGAATTGTCTTCTTTCTGCATTGATGTGAGTTCTTTATTTCTTTTGTGGCTTGTGTGATTGAATGTCTTCCTGGGGTTGTTCTTGAATTTGGGTCAGCATTGTAGTCATGCTGGTCTTTGGCACTGACAGGAAATTAGATCTTTATTTTCATATTCTTCATTAATTAATTTGTAATTTCTACTTATTCATGGGGTCAAAGTTTAAAGTTCTTGACTTCTTGTTTTTATGATGAAATAAGATTGTATTTGGAACTAGGGCTGATTTGCAGTTGGTAGGATGAAGAACAATGGCCATCTTTTCTTATGATCTTTAGGGTCTAACTGCAGTTAAATTTTGAAGAAGCGAACTATAGCACATATAGCTTGTCACTTTGTTGTATTCTGAAGTTGAATTGTAGAACTTCAGTTAATGTTGAGAATTACATATTAATAGCTAAGGTGGATTGAAGGATGAATTCAAAATCAAGATGCTGATGACTAATGGCTATAAAGGAAATTGGTTAATGAGGCTAAATATGAAATTTTATGTCATTCTGTCCCATCCTGATACACTTATCGCATGACTTGGAGCTAATTTTATTCAATTTTCCCACTTAATCGTTTGTAATTATGTCTAGAAGTGGCTTTATTTGCTTTCAGGTCAAAGTGTCTAGGGTGTGTAGAACTTTTGTGTACAAATTCTCTAATTTTTGTATTGTAGCATTCACTAATGAACCTCTAAAAATAAATCTTGCATTTCTTCTAATTCTTTGAATAGGTGTCCATTGTTGCGTCTGAGTTTTATTGTCAGAAACCTGATTGTGAAACTCAGAACATTAGCACTTAAGAAAGTTGAAATGAGATCACATCCTTTTCGAAAGTAAGAAAGACATTTGAGGTGGAAAATTTCTCTGATTTGGGTGGGAAAGGAAATTGAAGAAAAATAATTCAAGAAAAATGTAATTAAACAATCTTCTCTCTTAGAAAATATATTTCCTTCCCAAGGTGTCCACCCTTTATCAGCGCACCCGAATACCCAATACTTTGATTCCTCTTATCTCCCTATCTCGCGAAGGAAAATATTTTTCTAATTTCTCCTGTCTTCTTCACTCTCACTTTCTATTATGCACAGCAAAAGATTGATGCATCATCTTTTAGAGCCTACGGTCACATATAAGCTGCAGCAATTGTGATGCCTTCTTAAGCTCTGATTATTTTGCCATCCTCTTACAATGGATTTCATGTTCTTGTTAATTGGCAAATGCTTATTTTTTTTTTTTGCCTATGATCCTTTATAAGTACAGTATTTATATGATGATAATTCGTTATGGTATACTTTTTTTGTTAATTTTCTTTTGAAATCACAGATATTTCGGAGCACAATTGACTTTTGACTTCATTCCTTGTGTAGTGCCACTGTTTTTGGAGTGTCAACGGAATCAATGCAATTATCATTTGATTCCAGAGGGAACAGTGTTCCGACTATCCTTCTACTGATGCAAAGGCATCTATATGCTAAAGGGGGGCTCCAGGTACCTTTTTTATAATTACATTTTTTTTTTTGCATTTTAACTGTATTCTTGGTGAAATGATTGTTATTATGTGAACAGACAGAAGGGATTTTCAGAATAAATCCAGAGGAGAGGCAGGAGGAATATGCAAGAGAGCAATTAAACAGGGGAGTAGTTCCTGATGGCATTTGTGTACACTGTTTGGCAGGCCTTATTAAGGTTTGATACAATCCGAGTTTGTATTTGATTATTTAGTCTTACTACGAAAATAATTAACTACAACTGAATGTTGTACAGGCTTGGTTCCGTGAACTTCCAAGCGGAGTGTTAGATTCTCTCCCTCAGGAGCAGGTAATCCAATGCCAGACGGAAGAGGAGTGTAGTGCATTGGTGAGACTTCTACCGTCCACAGAAGCTTCTCTGCTGGACTGGGCCATCAACTTGATGGCTGATGTTGTCCAGGAAGAATTCCATAATAAGATGAATGCACGCAATATAGCAATGGTCTTTGCTCCTAACATGACACAGGTAAGTTCTAGTATAATTAATCAATTAATTGTTAAAAAGTATCCGTTTTTATCACTAAGAAAATTAAGTGTCATACCTAAAAGTGGATGCTTGTGTAGGAAGGACACAAGCTTTTTAGTTTTTACTATTCCTTACTTCCTGCTGACCCCAATCTCGTTTGGGATATAGTCTTGGATGTTGATGTTGTAGTAGTATTCCATACTCCCTCTGTTGCTTTTTTATCTTTCCACTTTCCTTTTTTAGGCTGTCTGTAAATAATCTTCTCATATGCAAAAATTTGTCTGTTTGTCATTGATTCTTTCCTTTCTAAATAAATGACAACCACATAATTTTGCTGACATATACTCTGTTTAAAGTCAAACGTGGAAGACAAAACAGGGGTGTTGAAGTATTTACCATTAAACTTTTGGGTGATATGTACTCTCTCTCTCTGGTGTGGATGGTTTAGAATTTCGTATTCACTATTCCTTTAGGCACAGATTGGAATGTGGAAAATGCTATAGTAAGAAAGTAAGCCGGAAAATATAAGATATATTTGAAATGAAAGAAGATGTTGAGGAATGTTGGTTCAACCTCAAGTTATTTTGAATATTTGATCACGTTCTTTTTAATTTATTTATGTATTTCGGTCACATGAATAAAACACAATCAAATCATATGTAAAATACTCAATAAATATTAATAATTTTTCATTTTTCGTAATATTTCTTTTGGTTAATCCAAACATAAGAAGATAAATATTCTTAGCGTTTTATTTCCTTTCTCTAGTATTCCTGACTATCCAAACATATCATTTGAAGAGTGTGAAAGGAAGGGTAACCATGTAAAGTGTTTTAATTATGCTTTTCTGCATGGGTGTATCGTGTGTCAATGGGCAAATGTTGATAATGAAGTATATGGTTAGATACTATATGGAAAGTATAATGAAACAGATTAGCAAAATATATTGTACTCAAAATGCTAATGAAAATAAAACCGAGAAAGGAAAGTGGTTTGAAAAATGCATAGTTAACTGGATATCCAAAAGAGGCTTGAGGTTGTATATATGAGAAACAGTGAAAGTTATAGATAAAATTAGAAGGGAGGGGGGAGGGGGGGTCTTGGTGCACCGGTTTAGGTGTTGCTCTCTGACCGAGACATCACAGGTTCATGTCTTGAGAGCGGCCTCTTGTAAAAAGTTTGACAGGTGAAGCTTGCCCCTTATACACCTTTGTTGTGGAACCTTTCTCCGGACCCTCTCCTTGCGGGGATTCCTTCATACACCAAGCTGCCCTTTTATGGATAAAAATGAATGACCAAAATTGAAAACTTTTCGTTTATAATTTTTTCCAGCGACTTTGATTACAGTGCCAGCCATTTAACTAATGTAGAAATGGTTTATTCAATATTAGGTTGTAATAACAGCCATTGTGGATGTTTTGTGTAGATGGGGGATCCATTGACAGCACTAATGTACGCAGTCCAGGTGATGAACTTCTTGCGAACACTTATTGAGAAGAAACTACGAGAAAGAAAAGATTCTCTGGCAAAAACAGCCCCGACTTCCAGCATAGAGCCCTCGGGTGAAAATGGTCCCCAGAATCATCCTCTCCAGCCAATCCGGGAAGAAGAAACAGGCGGTGAGCTGACCGATGAAGAATATCTCAGTTATTCAGATTCCAGCGATGAATCTGAAGATAGCAGCAGCTCTTGTGAATCTTGTCTACACACCACTTGTTGGTTATTTAAAGAATCTGACCTGTCGAATCCCTCCAGTGGTCTGATAACTGAAAAAAGATGCAAAAGAACAAGCAATTTGATCACAGAGCGGGTCGAATTCTGGAGGTGAAGAAGTGTCGTGTTCTTCTATTTCGTCGTAGAAACCTGCAAAAATTTTGTATATGTATGTATAGTGTGTTGAGTGGTTCGGCTTTAACTCAGTTACAGTTTCATTGATGTTTTTTATGTGGTAGAGTCATTACATGCAGATTTTATGGAGATTGTTGGACCCTTTTTGAGGTCTTGCTGCGTAGTAGTCCCATTAATGCTCTACGTAAGCAAAACAAATTTCGCTTTTTACAATTTGTGTTCTAGCTCACACAGTCACAAGGGTTGCTGGTAAATAGAAACAAGGGCTTAGTAAACGTGTATAGATCTTTATATTATTATTTGATGTTCATGGAAGTTCAGCAGCTTGTTTTTTTTTTTTTATTTCAAGTGTTACATTGAAAAATGTTCGTACACATTATGGTGTACATGTTTTCTACATGCTTTCACGCCTTTCACAGTTTCACATAGACAATGAGTGAGAACATGCTAAGAGCATCTCCAGCGGTCAGCTAGACACCTTGTAGTTTTGTTTGCCACCTCAGTATTTTCTAGCTAATCCATTTTCCAGCAATGTGATGGTCCAATGGTTAGTTACAACTCTTGCCTCTTGAATAGGCCCCACAAATCAATCAATATTGAAATATACATTTTGAATGAATTTTATTGTTAATATAATAAAAATAATATTTATTTTTAAATATTTTCAAATCGATGAAGTTGACAAGCAAACATAACCAAACTTCTGGCAGATTGATCAAGTTGGTCATCAACTATGACTTTGACCAAACATTAATCCAACACCCAACATTAAGCAGACGAGGGTGAAAATGCATATTATTAAAATTAGTACAAAAATATGTATTTTGTTAAGTAACAAAATAAGGAATACAAAATTTGCTCGAAAATATTCTATATGAAAAATGTCAACTTTAACTTAAGTATTTCATGAAAAAATTATTGGGTTGCGCTTCTTTAATTAACAGTAATATTGAAACCCTTTTAAACATTACCGTTGCTGACTTTCTCTTTAATTAGATTTGTATAATAATTATAATAAATAAATTAAATATATTTGGGAGTTACCATTTTAGTTCAATTTTCTCTCCTTTCTAGCATTTAGCTTGTTTTGGCTAATTAGCTTGTCCAAGCTAGAAGATAATATACACTCCAATGGTAGGCTACTAGCTTGAATATTTTAAAAAATTGCAAGCAAGTCCTTGGGAGGAACCATTGGAGATGCTCTAATAGATAAATAAGGGGTGGTTTACATTTTTTCAGAATGTGCCACAAACATTCGATGTATGCGCAAATTATATAGATTAGCATAGAAATCATTTAAATAAAATTCAATTTCAATTCAAATATTATTCAATGTGAATAATATTTGTTTTTTTATATGGTAAATGTGAATACTCCCTCCATCCCGGAAACAAGTTCCCATTTTCCTTATTTGGATGTCCCAAAATAAACTTCTCACTTCTTTATTTGGCAAATTAATCTACATCAAAACAGTGCAAAACAGTGTCAAATAGTGCAAAACAGTGTCGAAACAGTGTCAAAACACTAAAATTTATCCCTCAGTAACTTTATTTCCTTAAAATGTGTGAAAGTCAACCCGAGAACATGTTTCCGGGACGGAGGTAGTATTTGCTAAATGCATAGAAAGTGTGTTTTATACACCACATAAGGCACCACATGATGTTAGCACCGGGGCCAGTCTTAGGAAAATTAGGCCTTTCTTTATTAACATAAGAACAAATTTTATTTACTTATGAAATATTGTAGTGAAACAATTATAAATTTAACACCTAAATAACCTAATAATATCAATTATTGAACTCAATCACAAAATTAACAACAAAATAACCTAATACGTTATGGCAAGCCTGTGGGTCTTTGGTTGTTTGGCACTTTGGCATACGATGCTTCCCTACAGTGGCGGAACCAGAACGAAAACAAAGGGGTAGCTAAAGTATTATGAAATGCAAAATTTAAATTGTTATTAAAGTTTACATAATATAAAATTTGTGAGAAAAATACATTACATTACATTACATTACAATTAAATGTTAGAAGAAGAAGGCAAGTCGATACGAGGATGTTTTTCTCTATTACTCTTTTCGTTATCTCGTCTAGAAAGCTCAACGTCTCGTGTTACAAATCGTAAAATAAACATAATCACATGAGTAACCTTACAAGTTAACGTTTTCAACTTTGAATTCTTAAAAGTTAAACCAATCAATCAATTATAATTTAAAGCAATTGTAGCAATGAGAGTAAGTGAAAAAAATGCACAAACAATTCCAACTTTATATCAATTCAATCAACTAAACAAATAAAGTTTAAAACAATTAAAGTAATTAATCAATAAACTTATAAACTTGCAAAATAAATTAAGCCTGAAACCAATTGCACATTTTCAATTATAAAGTAAATAATAAATTAAAGATTTAAAGAAAATAACCAATTAAAGTAATTAAAAAAGATTTCAATTTTAAAGTTAATTAGAGCATCCACATCCATAGATTATTTTTGAGATCATTTTGATGATGTGGAGGATTTTTTTGGGGATCATGGATGAGGAGTTGAGATTATTTTATGAGATTATTTGATAAAATAATCTGGTATCAAATTCTAAAGCTGGATTATTTTGAGATTATTTCCAACTTCTAGGCATATACTCATAATTATGGTGATGACTATCTTTGTAGTTCGTGCATGTTCATGCTCCTATTCAAGGTAAATTAAGATCATGAATGAGGAGAAATTTATTGGTTTGGAGATTATTTGAGATTATCTTATGTGGAGGTGACATGACAATAATAGACTATGAAAAACCGTAAAATTAAAAATCATCAATGTGGGTGCTCTTATAATCTGGTTCTTCAAATGTAAGAGGTCAAGGGAACTGCGAGGCAACTCCCGGCCAATAGACCGCAATGATTTCAAAATGAGGTGCACTTTTAATTACTTTAATTTGTTATTCATCAAATCTGACAGATTTTTACTGATTTCAATTTTAAAGTTAATTATAATCTGGTTCTTAAAATCCTAGCCAAACAGTCCGAACTTACCCTAACGAGGCAACTCCCTTCGCTGCTTCGTGACTTCTGGGGATGGAATTGGGGCCTTAGCTGTCAATGGAACTGCGACTGAGGGGAATCGGGGATGGCCGAATTGGGGAACCTGGTCATTATTAGTGGTCAAATGAGGTTGTTTTGGTTTCTTAAATACTAAAACTTATTATGGTCCCTTAATGAGTCTTATATTGATAGATTGTCATCTTTCAGGTCCCTTAATGAGAGCAATCATCTTTTAGGTCCAGAATTGATAGTAAACTCAACTTTCAGGTCTTAAATTGATAAATTTTCATTAAAATGTGATTAATAACTACTCTCTATTAGTGACTATAATTCTGATCAAACTTAACATCATAAAAAACATGTAGTTACTATGATGTAATCTTTGAATATAAATATAGTCACTAATTTACATTTTTGTTCATCGCTTTTCTAGGAGTAATATTAATAAAAAGTACTTAATAAACTATTTCAGCGTAAAAGAATTAATAAAAAGTCATACTAGTAGAAAGAATAGAAGCAGTAACCAAACGAAAACTGAAAAAGAAAATAAAGTAAACAAGAAATTGGAAAATATGATTGAAATCTGCCATCCTTTGATCTGGGAAAATGAGCTGAAGATCGGATCAAGAGATGAAAAAAACTTTGAAAAACAAACATGGGAAAAAATCATGGCAACATCCAGATTAATAGAGTTAAACTTGATTCAAAGAAGGAAAAAGTTCAAAAATAGAGTAAGAAAATGATGACGAAAGATAAACGTAATTTAAGCACTTTTCTTGTGCCACGTCAATTCTGACGAATGTGATTAGCGTCACAAATGACGTCATTAGTTGGGAAAAGGTCTAGCTTACTTTATTAGGAGCACTCACATTATATATATGTAATTTACAACTACACAAGCAAAGTATATATATCATATATGTTCAGTACACGTACATAGACACCGTTGATCGATCTCATCGACATTGCTGCGGCCTGAGCTTGTGAAATGTCAACCGACGGGCAAATCACAATGACGGAGAAGGAAGATCACACAGTCTCAAAAGAACCGCCTACAGGTAGATTTATATCCATGTTTTTGAATTGTGTGATTGTGGTTGCCGACTTGCCGTTGCTATACTCGCAGCGACAATTGAGGCCACTGCGATGCGTATTGTGGCGCATAGCATACTTATTATTTTTCATTCACACGAAATAAGTGAAAATTAATTTAGTATTGAGGTCCTGAAGCGATCTACTGCAGCCTAATGTGTGATTTGATGGGGCTGCTGCCCGGATGCGATTACATTGCGATTGTAACCCTTAACCTAAATACACTGTAATTACTTCATTGGTTGCTTCTGCTTGGTCTGTTCCGTTGCTCTCTTTCCTTCATTTTTATTTCTTCTCTTTTCCTTCTTTTATTTCTTCTCCTTTAATTTCCTTCTTTTTTAGTTTATATCAACATTTTTAATTTAATTCTAGTGAATTTTCTTCCTTTTTAAGTATAAATGGGATGACAATTTGATTAAAATATCTATCTCTCTTTCATTAGTAATACTTCAGATTTTTAAAATCATTTCCTAAATATTGAATGCCCATCAAGTGTTTGAAAAAATTCCAAAGTGAGTGTTCATTCTTGTTTTGATGAATTATTTTATTGTTTGATGCATTTGTATAAAACTACTTATTATAAATAAACTTTATAAATATTTCTCATTATAAAATATACTCATAATTGAGTAAGAGAATTAATCATATTAAGACTATTTGCAAATAATATACTTTTGATTGATTTTATTTTATACAAAAATGAGTATAATGTTTACAGGGAATGTGTATGGATATAATGTTTTAAAATGAGCACTCATGGAAGCTATTAAGATGAGTTTTGTGTTGTAGACAATGAGTATACGGTTTAGAGTAAATGCGCATTGATTTAACATTAATGAACATTTGATCACATTATTGGAGATTTGAAATGAGTTGCTTTTGAATTTCGATGCTCATTTTGTAAATTGTGTATACTCATTTAGTAATGGTTGTATGCTCATTTTAAAATGTCATATACCTTACATTAGATTCGCATATTGAAATTCATAAGACTTGATTATAGATATAATTTAATAACTTTTTATAAAAGAAAAAATAACAAAAAGAAAGTGAATTAGAAGTTATGAAGCAAAGATCACGATTCTCAATATTAGACTCCTAATACTCAACAGAATAGATCGGATGCTCACTAAAAGTTCATCAATGCTCATTCACTAGAAACCATGATTTTCATATCATATTATTATTA